ATTTCTGTGGTGTTACTGAACAATTTCAACAAAGTTTTAGGTGGTACAGATTTCAGCTAATCTAAACAAGCTGTGGTCTGGAAATTAGATACCTTTGTCAGGGATACTCCACCACTACAAATGTCTGGCAATTATATAGCTCTGTCAGGGGTGCCTTACCACTAGAAATGTCTGTCAGGGTGTTTTTGTAATACCTGAAGATGTACGGTACACTGCTGTGCGATTTTCATTTGGTACACTTTTGAGCTAATCTAGCCTAGTTGGGGGACATGGCATTTTGGGCGTGGAATACGACAATACCAGATATACATGCATTGATACCATATAGGAGAAAATTGGTACATTTTTCAGCTAGGTTGCAGTTGACATATTGGACTCCCGCGCTATAAATTGACACTGATTGATCTTCGTCAGGATTGTCTGCGATATCACCTCGGTGGAAGCGGACGTAAAATACAACTAACTCATCATCATCTTCGTCAGGCGAAGATGTAGCATGGATTTCAATAGCAATTTTTATGAATTCAACCCATTTTGTTCTCCTGTAAACCAGAGTAACTTTAGTCCTAAGGGGTAAGGGGTTACTTTGTCATAGGCTAAAATATGTTTTACACAAATGGAAAAATGGAAGGATTCTGAACCCATGACAATGAAATCCCTGGGCTAGAATTTTCCCAGTTTTGTAAGGGGGGGGGGGGATTGCCGAATGGTTAGCACGTGCGCGCTGTATCATATGGTCTGTCATTTAGTCAACTGCGTGGTTTCGATTCCCCGGTTGTACGTGACAATGAGTAGCGTCGCCTGTCCAACCTCGTGGGTTTTCTGCGGATCCTCCGGTTTTCTGCCACTCCTTAAGACCCCTACGCTCAAGCGAATTGTTGAAATAAAATTGAACCATATGTTAGTCCCGAAATGACCTAGTTTGTGTCGAGTGGACGTTAAACCACCATCTCTCTCTCTCTCGCTTCCGTCTACAAGATTAATTCCATTGGCTGTGTATAGTAATTACTTATATTTATTTAATTATCAAATGTAACTCATTAATTAGATCCTCCGGTTTCCTCCCACTGCTAAAGACGCCTACGCCTATGTAGAATTCATATATCCTGATGAGGTCGAAATTAAAAACACTACTCACAGTGACAATTACGCTTCCTACTTGGATCTGCGTGTTTGACAACTGCCATAAACTTAGTGTTAAATTGTACGATAAACGTGATGACTTTGACCTCCGATTGTTAACTTTCCATTTATTAGTAGTAACATGGAGTGGTTGTGTCTCAGCTAATTCGTTACGCGAGAGCTTGTTCATTTTATTCTGATTTTTGACATCTAAGCTTTAACTACAGGGATACTTGCGAACTAAACTTATTAAAACCTTTAAAAAGTTTTAAGGCCGTCATATTGACTTGATTGGTAAATATAATATGTCTCTCTCGGCTATTATTCTAGATATATTTAATTGACGCGTATACCATCTCCCTCATAATGTCTGTCTACTACATCGTTAACACTGTTTCTCACTCAATAATACATTCTACAGTAGATATCGCTTGTGTGATATATTTCATAATCTACTGCGATATCTCCTTAGGAGATATCGCTTTACATGAATTTGATTGGTCAGTTGGAAAGGAACTACTTTTTTTATTTTCAAAGAACAGTTCATTTCTTATTAAAAGTACCTTTTGTTTTATTAAAAATGAACTATTGTTATTCAATTGATCTTGATGGAAACACTGGGTCAATATAAAGGACTTTGCAATGGTTGAATTGCTGTCAAAAAATGATGTATCACTACGCCGTAATGTTCAGTAAAAGTGAAATCTACAGCAAAAAAATATATTTATCTATTTGTGCATGTAAGAAGGGATTGGGCGATAAATAAAATCTCCTACTCGTCTTTTTTGATATCAAAAAATACCAACACTCGTTGATAAAGTAAAAAAAAAACTCGGCAGAACCTCGTTTTTTGTTACTTTATCAACTTGTGATGATATTTTTTGATATCAAAAAAGACTGGTAGGAGATTCTCTATTTATCACGTGCATTTTGCATACCGATAGTCCATTGGCCAATCACCCTTTTTTACCGAGATTTCGCCTAATAGTTTGGATGCATCTATGGCGGGTTTGGCGCCAGGCAGGATAAGCTTACTCTTCTGGACACCTGTTACCACTGTTTGTCGTGTATTTTGTACACGGTGAACAGTCCATATGCTGATTATACACTATTTTGCCTATACCGTTTTTTTAGGACTCCGAATTTTGTCTAATGGTTTGGATTGTTCGTACTTGGTTTTATTTTATTGTGTATAATGTAATTTAACCACGGGCATGTCGTGTACGGGGTAGGGTGCACTTTATACCACTGCGGATTTAACATGACTAGGTAACATGAACTGTTTTTTCACGACGTTCCACGTTGGCGGACACGTAAAGGAACCATTGCAATTTAAATAAACAGTAGGCAAGGCACCGCTGTTCCGAAATAAAAAATATTTCATTACTTTACGGCAGGTCTTTCCAGATGTCCTAATATCACTTTTTGTTTAAAGTTTTAGGTTTTTGTTTCATAAATGGGTAAGGTAAATGATATATTACTATTGGTTCGCAAACAGCAATCCCTGTTTAATACCGCGGTCTTTAATGTAAATCTTTGACATTATTAGTATTTAGTTTCCAAATCAAAGTATAGGAGAATTCACAGCTCACAGTTTTGACAAGTTTCATAAATCTTTCCATGTTTCTACTCCGTTGGGACTTGATTCTGAGTTATCGTGATTCTTATTTGTGATACGAGGGATTGGGCTAAGCCAAATGGTCACGGATAAAGATAATATCAATAACAAACATTCAAACTAGTATAATAAATCAGTGAATTTACAAACCATGCTTATACCATTCTACGTGGCAAGGAACAACGTATAGTCGTTCGAATGGGACGAAAAAACACCGAGATCCCGAGTACACTTTGGCGTGTACTGAACAAAAAACCTTGACCGTTGGAATTCAATATTCCAGTCTTTATTAGACTTGTCTGAGCAGAACAGTAAATTGTTAAACGCCATTTCATTTATTCATATCCCATTCTGGGTAATAGCTTATGGAAAATACCGCATTATCATTGAGTAAATCGTGATATGTAAAAGCTATTTATTATTTGTTGACAAAAATAATCAATGTCTGGATTACGATCACCTTAACCCTTCATCAAGGGTATATTGCGCACTAAAATCACACCTGCTCTTAATCGATATGTTATTACAGATTACTTACATATAGACTGAAGAGTACTGATTTAGGAATTTCACTGTATTTAAACTGTGAATGTAAGCGGGAGTAAATGGATCATCAGTCTACCAATCAAAATCCTAAAAAAATAGGTTAACAGGTGTGATAGTGATTCTACAAACCTAAGACCATACCGATTTCACAGTAAAGATGTATAGAATAAGGTTTCATCAGTTGAAATCAACTTTCTTGAACTGTCTTGGCCCTATCATGGATGAGGTATGTCTGAAAGAAGGACTATGAGTAATATCTAACGTTTGATAGAATCGATTCGAGTTCGCGGATTCCCACCAATAATGTTAATCCGGTTATTATTTATACAGCGATACGACTGCATTATAACCAGTTCACTCTCCTGTGTTTAAAGTCTAATTTAAGCCACCGTGTCTGTTATTTAAGTCGTTTGTCCTTCACAAGGCATGTCGACAATAACCAGATGGAAATGAAATAAAACGGGGTTTAACGTCGTACATTGTGCTATGGGAGAAATTTTGCCCGGACAATGGCACCACGGCCGACTGTTATATCGAATTCCAACTTGTCAAGGGTTCTTTTACGTGCACGTCCATTTGTACACAGGACCTGGGGTTTTCTTCCCATCCAAACGACGATACTTCGTTTTTAGCCAGGCCCTCCGTCCTGCACCACTGACAAGGTTGAACCGCTCTGGAAAATCACGATGGTCTTTCTCGGTCAACCTCGGGATCGCACACACAACCTCAGGGTTAGCGAACCGAAGCCTTACGCATTCAGCCACTGGTTCCTTGACCAGGTGGGAACCCTGATCTGGTCAATTGAATGGAAATCCAGGAGATTATTTAAGACAATAGTTCAGTGTTAATCTGTATATCATGAAATAGACAATATAAATAGCGTTTAACGTCCTCTCGAAACAACCTTGGTCATTTCGGAACTAACATATGTTTCCATTTTGTTTCAATAATTTGTTTGCACGTAGGGGTCTTATCAGTGGGATAAAACCAGAGGACCTGGAGAGCTCCCCCGAGGTTGGACAGGTAACCCTACTCCTTGTCATGTACATATAACAGACAATATAACTGGAAGTACGGTCTAGAATATTACGTAACTGAACAATTACCTACACTGTATGTATCATGTTGCTAAATTTTTAACACCCCATTTCATTCCTAAATTAAACCAATCATTTTCAAATTAACTACCTAATGTGCATATTACCTTCTACATCTTCATAATTTCTGAAACTGGATTGGATTTTCTAAAAGACAATTTTTATTGTGAAATAGGTCGAAAATATATCCAATTCCAGACATATAGACAGATTTTACTGAATATGAATAATACAATATCATTTTGAATATTTTAAATTAACTGTTTTTTATTTAAACTATTGGGTATATAAATTTGCTCTTGACTTTGGGGTCCGAGATTCAAGCTATCTCTCCATGTAACGATAATGACTCGTGTCATGCGCCTTGCTGTTTCTAGAGCACCCGACCCCACCTCTCATTTAGAGAGTTAACAAAGCTAACAGTATATTGTACTTATTCAAATAAAAGCGTATAGAGAAATATTGTACAAAAAGCAACACCACCCAAACCATAAAGGTTTTGATCATTACTACTGGCCACAAGACCTGTTCAGTAGAAGAGCGAAATACGTTTAACATTTCCATTCCATTATTTATAAATTATTAGACGTAGCAAAAATAATCATTTTCCATTACAGGTTTAATGTAAATCGTTTGTATATAAATCATCTGTATCTTAGCGTGTAGACAGCATTAAATTGAATAAAAATAGTTTATACAGACAATATGAATAATGTGCATTTAAAACTGATTCACAGTGAACATGGTCGTTGTAATGTCAAAACTCAAATGTTTTCAGAATGTCTAGCCTGTTTATCTCACAGTTGGGGGGTTTCGTATCGACGGGGCCCGACTCGGGCTTAATTACCAACCCCCAAGATGGCCACCAAAACATTTTACCACAATCATTTATTCTTCATTCCGTATAACTAAATCCATGATGGATACCAGTCTATAACGGGCCCCGTGATTTACTATTATATTATAATTTTACAGTAACAAGCCAAAAACATATTAACATCAGCAGCAGTAGCAATATGTGATCAATCAGTGATCCAAGATGTTCGCCATTTATTTAAGATGGATACCAGTCTATAACGGGCCCCGTGATTTACTATTATATTATAATTGTACAGTAACAAGCCAAAACACAATAACATCAGCGGCAGTAGCAATTTGTGATCAATCAGTGATCCAAGATAGTCGCCATTTGTTTAAGATGGTGATTTAAGCCATTGACCCTTTACCCCTGAGATTAAATGGTCAATGCAGTTAATTGACGGTACTCGGTTTTTCTGCCAGTACAAGAAGAAAGAAATATATTTTCTTTACTGCCGATCAAGAAAAAAGTATTTCCAGCTCAATCATGAAATGCCATTGAAACAATCTGATTAGTGGAGTGAATTCAAGGTTATGTGTTTAATGCCCAAAAGTACGGTATCCTGTCAAACGATAATAATGTGAACGAGAAATCAGTATACATAAATACAGAGCTGATTTTACCATGCCGATACACTTAGTTTCAAGTAAAGGCTGACATTTATTTGAAAAGATCAAGTACTGTGTGCTAACTTATATAGCGTATTGTATAATTGTTAGACTAAAACGACAGGTTGAGTTTTTATGTCAATGTTTCATTCGCCTACGTAAGTCATACTTTGATATCTCAAATGACATTTTCAAATGAAAGTTTATGGCATACTTATAACTGTTTTTGTTCGCACCATAAATAATATGATTGATGTTTTGTAAGCTAAAAATCACCGAGAAAAAAACCTGGGATTCTTCAAGCTCCGATCAAACTTCCCGGGGCTTGACTAGTTGAACAGAAGTTTTGGTGGAGGGAGGGAGGTGCGATCAACCAAATAAAGTAAATAACCATGTTAGTATCAAACTTTTCGTCCATTCTTCTAATTGTGTTGGATACCAGTGGCTCGGCGAGTAAGGCACTGGTTCACTAACCAGGAGGTCCGGGGGTTCAATGTCGTTGTTGTCACGTACAGGGGAGGGAGTGGGGGCAGACGGGTGGCATTGAGTCAGCTGGCGTGGTTTTGACTCCCCGATTGTACGTGACAAGGGGTAGAGTCGCCTGTCTAACCTCGTGGGTTTTCTCCAGATCCTGCCGTTTCCTCCCACTGCTAAAGACCCATACGCGCAAGCGAATTGTTGAAATAAAATTGAACCATATGTTAGTCCCGAAATAACCTAGTTTGTGTCGAGTGGACATTAAACCCCATCTCTCTTTCTCTCGCTTCCGTCTACTAGATTAATTCTATTGGCTGTGTATAGTAATTACTTCCGATCTGATTTCTATATAAATAAGATATTTCTGGCTTGTTGATATCCGACTGTGATTGAAATGGGTGCCCTTTTTCAAGCCCATAAACAGACAGTAATCAACACTATCTATAACACAATGACGAATCTCAGATGTCCTAATACAAAATAACGGAAATAGTGTTGGTGTACACCATTAGCCAAAAGTACCACCTAGTATTTAAGGTGTCCTCGTAGTGTGACAAAGTACTCTTGAACTTATTGACCCCAGTTAGTTTTTGATAATTTATGATATTGACTTTTTAACTCTATATACTTCTATTTAGTCACGTTCTAATTAAACAAGCAATTAATCCCATATGTCATTTACAAACTACATATGATCTGTGTTCAAGCTCCTCGTGACTTCAAAGGAATACGCACTGCTCAGTAATCATACCATTACGTGATAAGAAGACAATTCCATATATGATCATGAGTTTTATCTATTGTCGGACGCTATATAACCAGGAGTTTACTGACAGTAAATGAGACGAGCGGGAACGAGGAGAGAGACGGAAGGAAGGGAGGAGTCGAGACAGGCGAATGGGTTCATCCGTGTTCAGCCGCTGCCGAGGCAGAAGGACGGAATGGTTGTCAGAATGTACCATGTTAATGTTATCATTTATATTCCCGATGTAGTTTAGTTCCTGTTGTATTTATGTAGCTGTTTGATATTCTGTTCTGGTGTAAATAAACCCTATGTGTACGAAACTGATCTACTAGATCACTAAAATAACGTTACAGAAGTTTGTGTTTATATGGCAATTAATGGGTTGTGAGCAGTCATAACTTTCATCCCCCTTTTTCCTGGATTTCGTGTTGACATTTACACATAACAGCCCAGAAACAGGTCTGCCTTGATTTGCTGGACGACTGGTCAAACGCAATTAAACGCAAATCCCTTAAAAAATGTCGCTAGACTCTAGCGTAGCATGAATATTAACAACATACATGTACAAAAATAAAGCACAGCCTACACTAAGATGTTAGATTAACAATTATTGACTGGTCTTCGCAGATTAAAAAAATGAGGGGCTAAAGTTTGTTTTAGTTGCACGGATCGCCATATCCACCAAAATATGAGGAAAATATGTAATGTAGTGCATTCACAAAAAACAATTTATTTTATATCATTTTTTTGATAGACCACATTTTACTAAATTCACAGCTGGTGACATCCGTGAGTGAGGGGATGGGGCAAAGTTTGTAAGATCAATTTTATATCTCATTCTTGGAACCTATGATGTTTTCAAAATATTCACTGACATTTGAAATGAATTGTTCAGGCGTCAATGCTTCGGAGAATAAGAATTGCCATAAGTTTGAGCGACCAGTTTCGAAATACATTTTCTAAGATAAAGCTGTTTCTCTATCTGATTAACAACCCTAGGGGTAATGAAAACATCATTACAGACAGCCTTTCTTAGTTGTATTATTGATTATTTCTTCCCTATAATATTTACATCCATTCATATTGTCAATAGTGATATTAATTGTTACCGTCTGTTCTTACAGACATTGGTGACTGACTATTGTTATCCTCTAATTGTAAAAGCCATTAAAAGCCATGAACCCTAATGGTTCACTGATTTCCAGTCTTCTGTTTATTTTCATTCTGATTTAATCCGGATTCCAGTCCAGATTTCAAACGGCCTTGGTTGTTCATTTAATGCTGTTTGTTTAATGAGATGATGACCGATATTACTTTTAATGCTGCCAGACGAACTCCCGTTTCCAGAGCTGTTAACGCGAGACAAATATCATCGTCCCAACTCGCTACTCTAGGACCATTTCGTAACAAAACAACACATTCTACGAACAACAACAAAGTACCAACGTGTTCCTTATATTTTTTCGACTTTTCAATTTTGTCAGTTTTTATGAAAAAAATTAGGCTTAGCCTAAACTGCGGATGGGTTTTAGGAGCAGATACACATAATAATTCAGTATTTTTTGTGAAAATTTCTACACACAACAATCTAGCGATGACGTGGTTCTATATATAAAGTGAAATTTACACGATAGTGAAATTTACTCGAATTGACTTAACTGAGTGCCATGGAAAACGCATCACTTTTTTTCCCAAATATTTTATTGCTAGGTGGTTTTGTATGTATAATATTATGCAATACTAAGAACTATTGTTTCATACAATGCCCCCAAACGCAAAAAATATCGGCCCGTGTGCACAAAAAAAAAAAAAAAAAAAAAAAATTGCACGAGACGCACATGAAAAACCCAATATTCACGTGCAGCATTGTGTGTGAGCCCTTTAAAAGCATGTTTTCAACTTAATGTGCAGTACATGAACTGTGAAACGTCAATCTGTCGTAATTTGTTGTTGGACGTGTGAAGGAATCGAGCTAGAGATGCCGAGACTTACTGAACATCAACGGAATAAAGCCATGGGAATGTCCAATGTCCAATTGCCAGACACTTCAATTGTCATCAGTCCACTATTGTAAGGTTGGTGGAATGTGTTCGAGTTACTGGATCAACACGTGACCGTCAACGCCCTGGTCCACAACGCGTTACAACCCAGGCTCAAGACCGCTACATCCGGGTCACTCATCTGCGTGACAGATTCCGCCCAGCGACTCAGAACAGGTGCAGCAGTCGTCGGAAGACAAGGACCAGTAAGACGTCGTCTAAGAGAAGTAGGACTCCGTGCACGACGACCTTATGTTGGCGCTATCCTTAGGGATCATCACCGTCAGCGGCGTTTGATATGGGCTCAAGGACACCAGACATGGAGAAGAGTAGACTGGCAAAGTGTGATCTTCAGTGATGAGAGTCGCTTTCATCTTTATCACGCTGATGGCCGTCAACGTGTGTGGAGACGTCTTGCAGACTGTTGCGTCTTCGAAACGAATCGATGGGGTGGGGGAAGTGTAATGGTGTGGGGAGGCTTCACATTTCATCACCGGACCGCCCTACACATTTGCAGGGGTCGCGTTAATGCTGTAGCCTACCGTGATGATGTCTTGCAACCAATTGTTGTTCCGATGTTTCGAACGCACCCACAACTTTAGCACTTCCAACAGGATAATGCACGTCCGCATACCGCACATTTTAGTATGGAATACCTGGCTGCTAACAACATCAATGTCTTGGACTGGCCAGCCATGTCTCCGGACATGGCACCGATAGAACATGTCTGGGATGAGATTGGACGCCGTCTGTATCGGAGACCACAGATGCACACCATTGCTGCTTTAGAAGCTGCTCGTGTCCAAGAATGGAACAATTTGCCCCAGGCCTTCTTTCAAACATTGGTAAATTCCATGCGAGCTGCACAGCGTGCGTAAGAGCCCGTGGAGGACAC